CTCCGCAGCAAAGAGGAATGGGATTTCCTTGTGTTTGGTTCTTGTTCTGTAACGAGATACCCTTTCTGGATTTTTCTAAGGCCATCCATCCTAGGGCTCTAAAAGAGCACCCTTCTCTAACCGTATTGTAATAACATTGCACCCCATCAACCCCAAAATGCCAGAGAGCATCCTACACAGAGAACAGAACCCAGGGGATTTACAGGAGAGGAAAAACAACAACAACAACAACAACAACAACAACAAAAAAAGGATGGTAGATGGACATTGTGCTTCAGTTTCACAGCATCCATTGTGGGCACTTCCACAGTCATCTTTATGGATCACATGCTGATGTGATTTGGTTCTTTCTAGCCCATGCCTTCTATGTTGTCTCTGCCCAGTCTTGCCCAGAGAGAAGCTGAGAGACTGAGAAATAGTGATAGGATTGAAAGAGGAAGCGAGGAAAAAGGAAGGAAATTGGGGTTACATAAGCAAAATGACTGTGCTATGGATGAATGGGCTGTGGATAAGGAAGTCTGAAATAGAATAGACGACAGTGCGATGGTGCACGTGGTGGCTGTGGGGAAGAGAAGGATCGCAGGAGTGGGGGGATGGTCCTTACAGGATGCACTGAGCAGCAACGCACAGTCCTCCTGGGGCTACTGGCTAGACGGGCTCCTGAGCCGCGCGGCCTGCAGCTCCCAGCCCGTCCTATGCTGTGACCTGCCTCCGCCAGAACCAGCCTGATGTTTTGTTCAGCATCTGCCTCCTGCTCCACGTGCTGTGAGCCACCGTGGTCTGGCCAGAGCCACCACCACTACAACCAATTTCCCTTGCCCTCCTGACAAAGGCCGTCTCGCCTCTACCAGGCAATTTCTCTGAACGTCACTTTTTTCATCTTATCAGCTTCACTTCCCTGAGGTCTCTCTACAGTGGTTCCCATTAGAGCAGCTTAGCAGACAGAAACCCGACTCTTGGAGACTCTTGGAGCTTGTTTTTCAAAGGAGATGAAGTGTCAGCAGCTAGAACTGCAAAATGCGACTCCACCATGGCCTCCTGAAAGCAGCCGGGTGACTTTACCAACCCCAGCTGCTGCTCTCCTGCCTTCTCACACCATCTATGTTCTGATCCAGGCAAATCATGCTGGTCTTGTTAGTCAAATGACAGAAATGTACTCACCATGGTCCAGGTCCTTGAGATAGCTGCAAAATTCAGCCTATTCCTGGAGTCACTTTGCTGTGCCCGTGCTGTAGAGCATTGCTCTGTTCTGCCTAGAAGATGGACGCACTTCACAGTAAGACTCTTTTAGGAACAAACAAAACTTTCAAAAGGAAAACGGTTTTCTAATTTGTTTGGGATGCCCTGAGCCCAACATCAGGAGCTCATTTACCTGGAGGACACACAGCTCCACAGGCTGTTCTTTAAGCTGTCCCATCAGCTCTTGACACCAGAGAGTGTCAACCAAACGGCAGACTCTGGAAACTGTCTTGGCATCTCTCTAGCAAAGTATTTCTGTATAATGGCCTTGCTGGCAGATTCTGTAAGCTTTATACAAGTAAATGATTTACTACAACCAAACTACACTAAGGAATATGGCAGAAGGCCTTTTGTTCATCGTGGAAAACATCTCCGTAGGGGTGCAGTAGTAAGACTCCCCCCCCCTTTCTCAGCTAAAATAAATACAAAACTAATTACTCTCTAACATGCAGATATACATATATAAAAATATATATACACAGACATACATAAAAACAAGAAGAAATATTTCCTTGTGCCCCCATGTGTCCACTAGAAGCAATGCTTCCAGGTCTTGCTGTTCTTTAGCCCTTATGGCTATATTTCTCACAGCAGTGCAGATGGCCATTTCCTTGACCTCTTGGTGCTAGAAATCTATCCACAGAAAACAGCTGAAGACATCCTGGTTCTGAGGCTGGGTCACGGCATGAAAGCCAACATACACAGCACTAAAACAGGGTTCATGCCCCCAGGCGAAGTGCAGCCACACACAAGGGCACGTTTACTCCCATTGCTTTTCTTCTTGGAAGAGAATTACAGTAGTGAGCATCTTCTGCTCTGCACAGGCACCAGTGCAACATGGGAACTCTGACTGCAGACACGAAGCATTCAGAGCAACACTGTTCCATGCAAGCAGCTCGAGGGATTTTAGGACCTGCTACAATCCTTTCTCCTGACCTCCTGCATGACATAAGCCAGAAAATTCTTCATGGGATTCCTGCACCTGACCCCAAAGCACCTGAACAAAGTCACTGCCATAAAAGAGTAACCCGCTTACTCTGATGGCTCACCATCTCCTCAGGATTATGAATAATCTTTAACATTAAATTGTCACTGGCCCTTGCGGTGCATTGACCTGCTACACCGAAGAGCCATCAAGTCCTCTTACTCCTGTAGAGCTCAATGTTTCTCTATAGTAGGACCCTTTATTTTTTTTTTTTTTAACAAAACGGATTCTATCCCAGTTTTGTTTTGTTTTTCTTATAGAAATACTTTATTGCTGCAGTCAATAACCCTGTGTATCACACACAAATAACCAATTACAGTTTAAGAAACTAAAAATTATTCTGCAAGTGGTAATACTGAGAAATGAATGTACAGGAAAAGATACAAAACTATACACTTAAGTTACTAGAAATTTACTAACTAAAAAAAGTCTGCAGAAATATCTTGTATAAACTATACAACACATGCCAGTGTCAAGTTGCTTAACATTATACAATCACCTATCTACAAATGTTTTACCTAAATATAAGATCTATTGCAATTTTTTAAACAATTTTCTCCTATACAAAGACAAGTACTGTCAGTACTTCATTGTAATATCCAGACACTGCAATATCTCAAAACTAGAAAATAATCACAAAATAGAAGGTCCTGCTTAGAAGTTTTCTTTGCATAACTAGGATAATCCTGTGAAAATCCAGCCAGCAATTTTGGTGTATTTGCCCTGTTTCACCCATATTTGGGAGGAAGCCAACACGGAGTGACAGCCCTCCGTTTCACTGCTGGAAGCAGCAGAATAAACCAGAAAATGAAACACTCCACTGCTCCAGAGGATCTGCGGATCTGTCTCCCAATTTGTAACAGAGGTTTATCCAGCTGAGCACAGGCTGGTAAGAAGCAGCTGTCATGCATTTGCTCAGCTACTGCTCCTTCATGGGATTTCTCCTGCTGCAGCACGGAGCCCCAGCACTTCTCCAGCCCCGGCAGGCTCTGTGCAATCTTTGCTGCATCCCCCTGTGGAAGCAAAGCCAACCTGAAAGCCTTTCAATCACAAGAACCTGTCTCCAGGTCCAGCCGATCTCTTCCAAGCACAGGTCAACAATTAAAACCCCCAAATACAAGGTTACAGTTGAGGAAAATCCTGAGATTTCATAGGGATTTATGATTTCATGATCTCTTAAAGTGCATCATTTCCATAGCACTTATCAGCACTTCTAACACAATGTATGTTCATGATCTGGCAGATATACTAAGTAAGATGCAGCAGGAGAATTTCCTTTACACAGCCTGTGTGTTTTGGGACAGGACTTTACTATGTCAATCAAGAGGAGGTTGGTCAACTGCCTAGAGCATTTATTTCCAAGGGGCAAATCAGTAAAGGCTCTCGCAATCTAGGGAGTGATTGGAGTAAATGATATTAAGAGTCTATCCCCTCTGTTCTCCAAGAAGTCCCAGGGAACCTGACTTTGGGCTTGGGACCATCACCAAAAGAGGTCAGACTTTTATTCCAGCCATTTGTAAAGTTGCCAGGAGAAGGTTTGGGAACGGCTGGTCTGGCCAGGAATGGTCACTGCCAGCGCTGACAGCCAGGTGGGAAGGACGGAGCTCACCTGAGCTAGCGGCAGTGCCTTGCAGCAAGAAGTTGAAAGCTGGTCAACAGGGTCTCCTTGAGGAGAAAGAAGGAAAAAGCACCATTCGGCCTTTTTACACTATTTGATGGCACCACGCGTAAGTAGAGAACTGCACCTCTAGAAGCCCTCTGTTAACACCAAGCAAGAAGCAACACGAGAAGAGCTACCAGCATAAGCAAAAACCAATGACAGAGCCCACCAGAGGAATCTGTTCTGCAGCCCTTGCTGATATAAGCAGTTCTAAAAGATATAAAGAATTGAAAAATAGGTCTTATTTTCATTGAGAAAAGATGTACCAGGAAAAGGGAATGGGTGGTTAACAGCAGCACTGACTGAAATAGTTTCATCTGCTGCCTTTTTTTTTTTTTTTTTTTACTCCAGCCAATTTTACCGGAGATGATTTTCCTTTCCAAGATACACAAGGGCACAGCAAGAGCTATCAGTAACCTGAATGTGCTGAACACTAGCTAGCATACGCCACACAGAGCTTCCAAAATGCCAAACAAGATTTTACAATGTTTCACCAGGAATGACTGATGACAGTGATTGAAGCAGGACAGTATGTAACAGTACACCAGATTGGCACTGTCACAACACCAGTGCCTCAAACATGAGAGCTGAGAAACAGGTTTTATATCAAAACTTGTCCATTTTCATTTCACCCATTGGCCACAGATCAGATGAGAATTCACACAGCATCAGTCAGCAGCTGCTTCTCTGTGTCTTGCAGGTGTAACATGAGCACCTTGTTACAGATGTGTAAGCATTGCACACGCGGGCACTGCAGAACAACATGATGAAGACATGTAAGACCTGATATTTAACCCACCTGAGTTTTTCCAGTGAACCTTTTTCGCAGAACAACAACAACAACAAAATCGAAGACTATATTATTATCTGGGCTCTAAGTAACAGAACACGATCAATCACCGCAGAGTTCAGGGAAGGGCCCCAGTAATTGCACTTTGCATTATGGCAGGCGTAGGCAACTGCACATAGCCACGAAGGCGGCTGCTCAGGTACTAGCAGGGTATGCAGGGCTTGTCTGCCTGTATCACATCCGTATGGTACACCGTGACATCCAGCATAACATACAAGCCCAAGCCAGCACAGCTCTGCTAGGACTGTCTAGAGGTGTTGTTTTTTCAAACATCTCAGAAACAAGGTTCCATTTGTTCATGAAGATCACAGCCACTTAGCTTCAAGCATGAGATCTCTGTCTCATTCTCATACACATCCTCGAACAGCTCTTAGGAACCACTCATGCCTTCTCTTAGCATAGTTCCCTCTCTGCCATTTAAGAAATCTACTGATTTTTAAAACAAAGCTTAACTTAGAAATAAATTAATAATCACTTTTTAGGGAAAATTCACTGACCTCTTGCTGGTCTTCTTGGGGATAAATCAAAGCAAAAAATTTAATTACACAAATGTCTTCCCACTAAAAGTTGTATTTGAAAAAGGACTAAGTAAAAACTGAACTGGACCTTAGGATATAGCTCAATACCTCAAAATGTAATAAAACTTTTAACCAAGATGTCTAGGCAACTCCTACTAAGACCGAAGAGATTCTCATTGACTTTGCTTTCTGTTGGACAAGGCTCAGGTGAGAAGAGTTTTCAGGGGCAGTTTTCAGCATTTTCACAGGCAGAGGGGCTCTGGGTGTTGGCTTTTACCGTGGCTTCGTTTCCATTCCAGTCACAGATGGCAGATGTGATTTACACAAGGGCTTGAACAGAGACAGTGGTTCAGTGAGTAACAACAGACACCCCAGTGTTCAGGCAACTCTGTCCAAACCTCTTCAAATTGATTTTAACTGTCCCTTTTCTCATTAAGGCAGAGAGTTTAAAAAGCCAGCCCCAAATTGAACACAACAGACCCCATTTTTCTCTATCCATGTAATGCATCACCATGAGGTCTCAAAACAGACAGATCATTATAAACTCATCTACTTAATGCAATATTTACTTCTTAGACTTAGCTTTCAACATCTTATCCCACAATGAAAAATTCCTGGGTAATTCACACAGGACACAGCATTAATGAAGGGAAAACAAGTTCAGCTGTATTGACTAATAAAAGTCTTTTCACATTTTTACCAAGGTAGCACCAAACCCTTTTTCAGTGGTTTGGAATGCACGTTACATCAGATATACTTGTTCAGGTCTGCCAATGGTGTAAGAGACCTCTTTAAAACAAGCAAACAAGCAAAAACTAAATCCAGTCCCCAAAACAGAGCACCGAATCCATTACGCATTGAAAACAAACACTTTACACATCCACTACTCTCCATATACAAGTCACAAGTGCAATATCCTTTGAAAACATCATTCCTCAAAGGAAACCCAAAGAGGCAGAGTTTTTAGTGTTATGCTTAGTAAGATAACGTGGGCATTTGCTGGAAATCGTGTTGGATTTTTTTTTTTAATTTTTTTTTTTTTATAAGGCAAGAGGTTTATATTCCAGTAGAATGGAGAGGGCAAAGAATAAAGAAATGTTTTGAAAATGACATATTCTTTCAAGTTTCATTTTCAATGGACACACATATTACAAATTAAAGATTCTGAAAAGTGCTATATGCTTTGTAAGTCTCACCACAATATGTAAAGCATAATCTGGCATCTGCTGCCTAAAACAAAATGTTAGTGGCAGTGTTAATGGTAGGTTAGATTCTAGTCTCTCATTTCTCTCAGTGTCCGGGTGTCTGGGACAACCTCCTTCGCTGTGCTAAAAAAAAAAAAAAAAAAAGAAAAAACACACATGTTCCAGATTCACTCTGAGTCATCTTCTAAAGTAACAGACTCCACAGAGTTGATGACAGTTCACTAGTGGTTTGCTTGATACCAAAACCAAGGCTCATTCTACCCAGTATCCTGTGGCTCTTTGATCAGCCAGTCCAAGAGACAAGAAGTTGAGAGGTATGCAACCATGATAACCTACTGACGGACATGTCAAGGGGATTTAAAAAAATTCTAACAAAGCACAAATGTAAAAAAATTCATCTGACAGCCCTCAGCTGTTAGCTGATTTTTAAAAAGGTAGAGAAGTTTTCAGTAAACAATGATATTTTAAATCCTCAGGGACATACAGAAACATCCCTCCCACCCAGCAATCAGACGTGAAGAATTTCTGCAGAACAGTCTTCTGGCTCTGTGTAATGTGAAGAGTTTGTATCTGAATGGTGAACCCCAAGCATTTCTTTACTTTCGAAGTTTGGCTCCATTAGTGCAGGTTTTTCAAAAATATTCTTTTTGCTAGTTTCCGGACAGTTTTGTACATATATTACTCGATTATAAGCTTTAAGTCTCTTCCATAGCTGTACGTACACTTTGCATTGTACATACATGAATAGAAGTCCTCCAGTGAAACCAATAGCCACAACCACCAACTTAGTCCAAAATGGCCACTCTAAAATCCCTAAAAGAAAAAAAGAAAACCATAAAAGACCAGGTCAATATTGGCTATATATTGACTGAAGCCCTTAAAGACATCTTTAAGGAAATGGTCACAGACCATTTTTCTTGTTTTGTTTTTGCCCTTTTCAGTCAAATGCATGCAGATTTCTATGATTGTCCATATATTGTTCATATCCTACATACTTGTTCATATACTAAATGTATTCTCACTCATCAGAGGAGAAACAAAGCAATTGCTCCTCTGTGTCTAAGCCCCTGTGCAGCACAACTCCAACGAGAGTCAAGACAACAGTCAGTAATAAGTTTAGATTCCTTTACACCTTAATCATTCTGTGAGTCTGGGAAAAAGGTGGCCTCCCAAGTCCTCCAAGCTTTTACTGAGATGCATGCCACTTGGTCTTTTGGAAACACATGGTAGCATGGGAGGAATGAAAATGCTTTGAAAATACAACAGGAATTGTGACAAGACAACTGATGAAATCCTGCCAGTGATTAATACCGCAGAACTGCTGATGAACAGAGGGGCACCTGATCTCAGCCACAAGCAGCAATAGCATATGCTTGCCCTGTGTGGACACAAGCATACACACACACACGCACACTCCCTATATTCCCCAGCTTGTTGACAGACTCCTCATTCAGAACCCAAATGAGGGCAGCGAAGAAAGCATGGCAACAAGCACCAAATATTCAAACTATCACTGCCATGCTCCTCTAAAACACTAAGATGACCTGGAGGCTATAAATCTTTGTAGGCATGTGCTTTTTGTTATCATATGGCAACCTTACTTTGAAGAGCCAGCAACTTTCACAGCTTGCCTTGAAACAGTTTTAACGGCTCCCGGCCTTGGTGGTTACAACTTGTCCCTCCCCGTGCCCATAGCCAGGGAGAGCCCAGCTGCCAGCGAGACTTCTGCAACAGCCGCACATTTACAACACATCAAGATAAGCAGGCATCAACTTGTAAGTTTATGGCTGGCATATTAAAGAAAACGAGCTGCTGTCCAAGAAGTTAATATATCCCAGCAGTGGGGTGGCAGCCACTGCATGAACTCCACTGTAGGTCACCTCAGTGTGTGAATCGCAGTCTTAAGCATCAAGATTGTTGATGCTTAACACCTGATTGTTTTTCTGCTTCCTGCATCAACACTTATTAAAATTTCCCCCATGTAACACATCTTACAGAAAATTTGTGCTGACCCATTTCAAACATGACTGAATAGAAAGAATAATCTTGTTGATTTACCTTGAAGATTTGGATTAAAGGGCCTCTATTTCTTCTTTCTAAATTATCCTGGTTTTGCCCATTTAAGGGCAGCCAAAGTGGCAAACAAATGCTCACTTCCTTACCAGCTCAGGAACTGTTCCAATTTTAAACCAAATTAGCTAAGCCAGAGCAATTTTGTGTCTAGCTACAGTGGATTAGCTTTCATATCTGTGCACTTCAGGTGCAAACTAAATTGACATGAAACAGATTTAAGAGCACCCACAAACAAATTTGCTCTGATCTAGCAAAATTACTTTAGAATTGTGCTTTTAAATCAACTCAATCTCAGGCTAAGCCAAAACATCACCTGCGCCCTCCTGTGCTCAGCATCATCTCTGCTCTTATTTAGGATAAATAATTATTTCAAGAGGAAGAGAGGGAAGATAATCAAGTCCCATACCAGTAGTCTGTCCCTGCTTTATCTCCTCGGCGGTCCTGTCTATGAGGACGTACAGAGACCACACGACGCAGGTGATGGCGATGATATGGAATGTCACGGAGCACATGATCTTCCTCCTCTCACTGGCTGTCATCTGCAGCTTCTCCCACTGCCAAGAAACCCACACACAGAGCAAGAAATGAGATGTTAATTCTGATTACTATTGTATATACATACCAGAAGAGAACACTAGTAAGAACACAAAACACTTTCTACTCTGGAGATTTTGCATTCAGTTGTCACATATATTTACCATTAGCCACAGCAGTGGCATCTGTGTTTTGTTTTCCGTGTTTCAAGGGCAATAAAACACTGAACCACACATGCCCTAAGAACAGGCAGCAGAACTGCAATGAGAGCTTTTGTAAGTGAGAGGGTGCAGCAAGTTAAGACCCCAGATTTTCACCTATTAATAATGTTTAAACAGTCCCAACAAAAGCCATAAAATGTCTTTAGGAAGGGTAATAGACAATCATTTTAGGTACTTATACTTTCCATGTAGAGTCAAGACTGGCGTTTCTCACACTTTCACAAAGTACTCAGTGGGACGCATAAGCTTCACATCTATGTGTGTCTAGAAAGGCACATTTGATGGAGAAAAGGCGTCTTCAAAAAGGAGTCAGAATATGGAAGAGAGTAAGGATGACCTCAGCAGCGTGACTGAGATCACCCATCATGTTGAATTATTCCAGTGCTACAACTACAAGAACAGAGACACTGTGAGCCTTGCTGTCTTGCCAAGAGGGGATCACTTCAGCCAGTCAAAGCTAGACCTACAGGCAATCAAATTTCATCATGGCAAAAGAACTCAAGGCCTCCAGCAATGATATGCTAGACTCATACTGTGCTAGAAAGCTATAGTGTTTCCATCTTCTTTGAAAATGATAGATCAAAACATTTCCTTTGGACTTTATGTTATAAACAGAGAAGTGTTTTTACATCTAAACAAAGGTATTTACTTCCTACAGAAAGTATGAACTTATTCATTTATTTAGCCAAAATCCAAGTGTGTGAGCTCTATTTGTGAATGCTGTCACAGCACTACAAGAACTTGCACTTGCACTGATTTTTTTCATCTTTGCTCCACAGCTTCAGCTCTCTTGCTAAACCATATCTCCCATGAACTGCTGGCATCCCAGCTACCAAACATCATCTCTTCAAGCAATGTAAGCGCACAGCTAAGGAGCAGATATTCTGTGACTATGCAGTAGCCCAAAGAGGAAACTGGAGTCTTTAGGTCCCTGCTGTCCAATTCTGACGGCACAGCAACCAGCATTTCCCAATCAAAACAGTCAGCATTTCTTTCAGTGCTTTTTTTTTTTTTTTTTTTTTAGTGTTGCTAAAACAAAATTCAGCAGAAATTCAGATTTAGTGTTTTCTTTTGCTGTTGAAATTTAAAAAGACAAGAGAGAAAAAAATTGTCTCCCCTCATCTTTACTGGAATCGTGACACAATTTATTCCTCAGTCTATTCCCTTCATATCCAAATGTTTGAATGCTTTGCAGACCAATAAATACACGCTGCTGCAAAACAGCCTTACAATTCTGGACAAGCTTAAGTCCATTTCCACTCTGCAAAAAAAGCACAAGCTCTCTTATTTCTCCCATCCTGTCCATTATCAGCAATTCCAGACTATTTCCTCCTGGCTGACAAGATACCACAAATGAGGAGTTAAGCACATCGTGGACCTCTTCTTCTGGCTTCAGCTGAGCCTCTGCAACAACCCTTAGATGAAGTGAGAGTTAAAATTTCATCTCCTCCTGTTTACGACTCTGTCCCTGTCTTCTGGCATCTGGTCTCTTTCCCACAAATGACCTGTTCAGAAATAACTAATGCTGTTGAGTGACTCCGTTCGGAAAGTGCCTACTAGCTTTTCCTCACAGTGAGCAAAAATTCAGAAAATGCCACCCAGCTGCCCCAGGCAGAGCGAGCACTTTCTACACTTTAATGCTTTGTGGCTGGGTTGCGTGAAGTGTCATCCCTATGGACAGGGACTATGACAGTGTAGTAGCTCAGAGCTGTTACGCTCTGTGCAAAGCAGGTATCAAGGAAACAGCTACAGTTCTCAAAAGGCAGTGATTCACTGCAGTCCTGAGCAGCAGTCTTCCTATCAACATAACATGTTACGCTGTATATTTTGCAGACTGCACATCTCTGAAAAAATAGAGGTGCTTGATATCAGCCCTATATTCTATTAGGAGTCACTTTTAAGAATCTGACAAGCTCCCAAGCAGCTCTTGAAGGACTTGCCACACTACGTGATTTAGGATCACCACGCTTGAATTTCCTATTTGCTCTAGACTGAGGTTAGGGCTACTAATTTCTTTCTTTTTGTTGCATATGGAAAGATTTGTCAGTGCTATGAATACCACTAACTTCCATGTCAAAATCCTGATGGCAAGCACCAACTGAATTTGAAAGCCAGGGGGAGATGTGGCAGAACAAAAAGGATGCAAACAAAACCTGCCTTACTATAAAAGCAGCATTTACGTATAGCTCAGGTCATCAAATTAATCAACTGCATTATTTTTTACAAAACAAAAATACTGCTTCTAGTCATCTAAAGTACTAAAACCCAGTCATAGATAATCTATGAAAAGATAAAAATGAAAATATATTTACACTTGAGCTTTCTTTAATGTATTGAATATTGTGGCTAATAGATTTGCCTCTTACGGAAAGGCTACAGATTTTAACCAAATCATATTCCTAAAGTGAGATTCGAGGGAAGTTAAACCTGAAATCCTCATACTTGCAAGAGATTTTAATAGCCACATGGATGGCTGGGATTCATTTTGGCTTGGGATTCCCACCTTGAATTCTGGAAGCAGAATTATCCTTACAAAGGCTGACATCAGGAAAACTCTTATTTAACTCTCAAAGCTGGATTCAATTGATGTTGAATTAGTGAGGCTGAAGGTTAAGCAGGTTTCTTTTACACACACACAGGACAGACCAGGCTTTAGTAAAGAGCCACACAAACATGATACACATGAGTTCCATGGGTCCATGGATAGGGACAGCCTATTTCGGAGGAGAGCTGTGTCTGATCAAAGCAGTCCCTCTCTGTGTGCCTACCTTTCGCAAAGGCTTCAGTTTTGTCTCCATGATGAACTCATACTTGCAGAGTTCACAGCATCGTGTATCAGAGCTCTTGATCCATTGCTGCAGACAGGCTTGGTGCACAAAATGAAGACTTCCCGTGCAGTGACAGGGGGTAATCAAAGGGCTCTCATCATCTCCTTCGCAGTGACATATCCTGCATCAGAAACAAAGCTGCTCATTAGGAGCAGAGGAAGCAAAAAGGATGCAGAAAAGGCACGTAATATCTACGATCACATATAAGGTTGTCCACTGATGATCCTTAGACATACACACCAGAGGAACGTATTCCATAAAAGGAGCTGAAACTAGGAACCCCCTTGCCATGCACGCACATACACACACCAAATAATTGAGCACAGACACTGCTAACTAGAGAGCTTCTATCTACTAGATGAGGTGGGCACACAGAGCCTGACAGAAAATCAGTATCCAAAAGAAAAAAAGAGGGTAAGAAATGACAACTCTTCATCGACTAGAAGAATCGTACTTCACTGAGAATAGTATTTGAGCAGATCACACAGTACTTTCCAGGACAAAACATGCACAGAGATGCACAGCTAGCTATGGATTACAATTTAAAACAGAAGACAAAAACAAATTTCCCAAACCTACTGGAAAAGAGCCCATGCTATAATTATGAAGAGTTAATTTAGGCAGCCTAGATTTTGCACAAAGTGATCTTTTTTTTCTAGTGCACATTGCTAAGAGACAGGCCCACAATGCAAAGCTAGAGCACTGAATTTCCCCCACATGCACTTATTCTGAATGGACTGTTTTGCTCTCCAAT